TAGTGTCAAAGCATTATATTCATTTGATTCCGCTGCCCCAACTCTGGAGGTGATTGGAAGTCCACCATCTGTAGTCTGATTGTTGGGGAGTTAGTATTTTGTTCCAACTGATTTGTGCAAATCGGGTATCCGGCATTGCTTTTTCGTTTGCGCATTTATTGTCTCCTTTTATACAGAGTATAGGCTGATTGTATTTTTTTTCTACTAGGCCCCAAGAATAACAGGGAGCCTCCGCTTATACCTCTCTTACCTAATTTTTGTCAGAATCAGATGGTTTCTCAGATATGCATATATATCTCCATTTTTTTTTTCTTTTTTTTCGTTTGAGATTGTTTTGACCTTGGTAATGAAATTATGTGGGTTGCCATTTGGTAATGAAATTATGTGGGTCAACGAGGGCATGTTTTGGTCCTTCGGAAGTGCTTGTTTTTTCATTAGATTGGTTAAGTGACTGTTTTTTCCTTATACTAGAAATATTGGGGAGGGGGAATCGCTCCTAGGACCTTAGGTGGAGGGGTAACCACTTGAGCTTCTAGAATGGTTAAGAGACTCCATAACATTAGAAAAAAGGAATTGAGAGGATTTGGCTAACGCTTTAAACCTGTAAAATTACCAATTATAAATCTTTTAAATAAAACTTTTATTTCTGAACTTCAAATTTATTGGGAGACAATTCAGGCTGAAAAAAAGGTTTGTACCATACATTTAGAGTCCAATTTTCATGTTACCAAATCTCTGTGACCACCTTGTTTTTCCTCAGTTTCGTGACATGTGGCACACCACTTAACAACAATTTTTAACTCTGTTAACTCTCTTCAGCCTATTTATTTTTATTAAAATAATTAAAAATATATTAAAATACACGTTTTACACAAACACATTCTTGCCTCTTCATCTTCTACCTTGCGTATCATCAGACTCAACCCCTAAATCTCTGCTTTATATATATTTTTAATGAAGAGGATAGGTAGAAGATGAAGAGGCAAGAACGCGTATTTTAATATTTTTTAAATTATTTTAATAAAAACAAATGGGCTGAAGAGTGTTAAGAGTTAAAATGTTTATAAAAAAAAAAGAAAAAGAAAAAAAAAGATATGAGTTAAAATGTTGTTAAGTGGTGTGCAACCTGTCACAAAACTGAGGAAACAGGGTGGGCACAAGGGATTTGGTAACATGAAAATTGAACTCACATTGAAGAGTTTTTCCCATTATAGTCTAGCCACAGCTAATATATTAAAGCATAATATTTTACATATTGGAAAAATACAATTCTTTCTGCAAATAATTTTCTTTCAGGTTCTTTGCAAATCACTTTCTTCAACAATTCCTTTGGTTTTCGATTATGTAGTAGCATTCTTGTACCGGCCAGTAGGCAAGTCTAGACTTTGATTCTTGACTACCAATTAGTCTTCTTAATCATCTATGAGAGTTACTTAATTTGTTAAGCTACCTAATGCCTTGGTTTGAAAGAGCTGATTTCAGAGCTTTTTGGCCCGCGTATTGTTTTTCCCCTTGATTTCAGTTTTCTAATTCAAGAGATTCTTTTTTCATTTGCCGATATTGATACAAAAGGATCTCTTTATTTATTTATTTATTTCCAGTAATGCTTTTGTTTTCCGAACATTAACTTGTTTCTGCAATTTAATTCCGTACCTTCTTAAATGCATTTGGATTACGAATAATGCTTCGCTTTCGTCGTAAGATATTCAGTTATACGTCAAATTACAAGGGTCAATTCGCTACTACGTAAATGGCAGACAATCACATTTTCTGGCACGATCCTACTACAGTTATTCACAAAGGGCAAAGGGGTAGAAAGGAGAGAGCAAAACCGGAAACTTATTCACATTATATCACTGAGCTCCGAAATGATCTAGCTAGTTGTAACATACGCATGGGATTTCTGTATAAGGTTTGTGTTAGAAAACATTAACCAGGGCATGAAAATCCAAAGTTAGTCGGAGGGCCACCAGCATTGCACCTTCATTCTGGCCAACAAGAAACCATGCGCACTTCAAGCGTCCCGTAGTCAGCATGTATATATCAAGTTCCTGGCCAGTGAGTCTCGATGTTGCAATCATAAAAATCAACCACCTGTAGGTTTGTATTCATAAAACTTGTAGCACAGCATTTAAGGTTAAACCCATCTGAAGCATAGGGCTAGTCAGCCACATGCGATGTCAAGCTGCTAAAGATCAATACCTGCTCATCAAAGTTTGCAGGAATCTCAAATTCTGTCCCCGAGGCATTGCAAAATTCATCCAGATTCTCCTGCAGGTCGTGATGTGTAAATAAGACAAATTGAGTCCGAGTAGGATAATTACAACTCTACATTACATTCTGATGTACGTTAGGTAGTAATTACTAGTTACAACACACCTTATGCTTTGATTTACATCAGCCAAGAT